TTACGCTACAGGCAGTTATCAACGAGTTATAGGGGACATATTCCATATTGAGCAACCGTCTGTGCATCGAATCGTGCATAGGGTTACAGAACATATAGCAAGTATGAGATATCGTTATATAAGTATGCCATCTGCTGAGGAACGTTTAGAAGTAGCAAATGACTTTTATGTGATTGCTGAATTTCCAAGAGTGATGGGTGCTATTGACTGTACATACCTATTCTTATCTTGAGCTATATTTTTACGTGTACATTGTCATATCATTAAAAAATTATAGCCACTCATTGTTATTAAATGTCTTTACAGGGGGAGCTCAATCTGAAAGTTTCCGAAATAGAAAAGGCTACTTCTCCTTGAATGTGCAAGTAGTATGTGATGCAAAATTGCGTATAAGAAATATCATTGCAAGATGGCCAGACTCTGTACATGATAGTACAATTTTTCACCATTGTGTGCCCAACTAGAGCGAGGAGATTTTACCCCTATGGTACTTCTGGGCGATAGTGGTTATCCATGTCGCCCCTATCTGTTAACCCCAATTTTAAATGCAAGGACAGAAGCTGAAGAAGCATATAACCTTTTACAAATCAGAACCAGAAATTCAATAGAAAGGCTATTTGGTGTTCTTAAAAGAAGATTTCCCTGTCTCCACAATGGGTTCGGACTGAAAACTACCAACATTCCACCTATTATTATGGCATGTGCAGTACTCCACAATATTGCTATTTCAAGGCAGGATGATGTAATTGAGGACGAAATTCCTTTAGCTATCGTAGAGGAAGAAGTTATGGTACAACCCAGCCTTGAAATAAATCAAAACTTTATAGTGAGGACGTCATTAATAAATACATATTTTTCTGGTTAATTTTCATTTTATTTTCAAATATCAATCTTTTACAAAATAACAAATAAAACAAAGATCAGTCAAAAGTTTGCTGTATCACAGTGTAGATTCATTGATATATGGTAACTTATTAATTTTTATATGGTTAGTAGGTAAACAGTAATTAAAAAGCTTTTTTAGCCCGCGGCTGAACTTTTTCATGCCTCCTTCATGAGGATTTGTCTTGTCTGTCACATCACGATGCTCGGCAGGCAAGTTACTGATAAATGATCACTAATAATAACAGTCTTTAAATATATGAGTGTTTTGTACACCAAAATAATAAAAACATTTAGAAACAGCATGGAAGTGATCAGTCATTCTCAGGGGTTATTTTAACATTACACAATCTTTATGAATGTAATTCTTCTATGTGTTTATCACTGAACTCCTCCAAAACGAGTCCCTGGATGGTTCAAAATAATGTGGGCATTCGTCTCTTTATTTTCTATTATATGTTGATATCTGAAATATGTAACACACGTTGAAATATGAACAACTCTTATAATATTTTATTCACATGTCAAAAAGGGCGTTCTTTTTAGTGTAGTTTGTTTCAATTGACGATTTAAGTATTTACTTACTTTTTTATCAATTCCAATAAAGTCTCTTTCTCAGACACTGTGTAATTGCATCCGCGTCTCTTCTTATTATCAATTGAAACGATAATTTGTAGTCAAATATGAATAATAAAATTACAATGATAATTTGTAGTTTACAAATGAACGAAACTGACACTGACAGCACGGCACAGGTCAGTGAAAGATTCTCGTTTCGTTCTAGGACGATAGACGGAGCGATTTTCACATAATTTTATACTTTGAAATGTACTTTTCATCCACAATATTTGTAAAAAATCACATAAATCACATTTAAAATTAAAGTATTGTTAGGAGATTATTGTTGAATATAATTTTAAAGCAAATCGAATATAAAATTATTTAAATATTTTCAGATGATGTTGCATAAAACGTATTTAAATTCAAATATCGTAAAATTGTCAAGAAGAACAAAGTTTTTTTTTATTAATGTTACCATGACGTAAACATTTGAGGGCTACTCAGCTAATCAAACCCTCAAATCACTTGAGTGATGTTTCTGTATTTCAGTTAAATTTGAGAGCTGCTCAAATTTAGGGGACCTTTAATAAAGTGACAGATTTAAGTTGCGTTTCAGTATTCGGGCGTATGTTACATATTTATTCAATTTTATACTTATGTCCATCCATCCATTTAGTTTTTATTGTTGCCTAGCTATAATTTGTTCAGCTAATTATTTCAGACTATCATCGTCGAAATTGTTAAGTTAGTTAAGTTACACAGCCTATTTCCGTCCCACTGCTGGGCCTTCATACACTTCTGAAAAGGTTTTAGGGCAAAGAGTGCCCATATGAGTGTTGGCGAACTGCACATGCCTTGGAATTTTTTTTTTTATTTCTCGGACAGTCAGACTTTCTCATGATGTTTTCTTTCACCGCCGAGCAAGAGGTAAATCAGCACTTAGAATTGCAATTAATAATTTCATTGATGCCGGCGGGGATCGAACCCGGTGTGTCAGCACTTAAAATTGCAATTAACAATTTCATTATTGCTAGCGGGGATCAAACCCGGCTTGCTAGCGTACTGTGAAATTTACAGCGAGAGCTAACCATCTGAGCTACCACGGCTCTTCTGAGCCACCACGGCTCTCATCTTTGAAATGAATACACCTATAGGATAGGGTGACAAAAGAGCAAGCAGTCCACCTGTGGTGGTTGCTGCGGCCCATAGATATCTACATCTATCCTCGATTACAAATCAAAATGCAGATGCATGTCACCCCCGTGACGACTAAGATGGAACGCCTCGTTTCCAGTAAAAAAGCTCTCCGGTTCTCTACACTCACCATACGAAACACAGAAGGATTAAGCTATTATTTCACACTGGTATTCGGTGAGAGCGTGGTCCTTCCCCGGTCGAGCCGGCCTATTCGTGCTACAACTATACTACTAATATAACTGCAGCATGGCTCTACCACGTATAAAAATGTTTTAATGGACTAGTACATGATGTACAAAAAAGTGCAGAATCGGACTTTAATTGTGGCATATTTTTGTATAATGCATAAGAAGTGGGTTCTTTAAAAATATACATAATTAATATTTTTTTTTATTTCAGGAAGAGATATATTTATTTTAAATTTTATTATTTCGTAGCTATTATTTGTGTTAAAGAAAATATGTTACCTTTTGGAGAAATAATGTTGTTGGTTATTGGAAATGTAACATAACCGCTGAGCACCTCGCGGCGCCTCTGTCACTCGACACATATTATGGTGCATTGGGTATTGTTTACAAAAAACGTTATTTATAACTCTACATCAGCGGGAGTGACCCTTGAGTGGTTTTATGGTTTTCAAAGGAATGAATGAATCTTTATTTCCGTACAAGTGCTGTTAAAGTTTGTTTGCTCAAATAAAGTAATAAATTTTTCAATAAATATGGCACTTACGACTAAAATTTTGATATCAGCATTAAGAGTACTTTTTTAAAACTTAGCAAGACCTATTGAAAGATGACTGAATCATGTAAAGAAAAAGAGAGGTTCAAGACTGAATCATTATAATGAAATAAAAAAAAAACTATTTTTATTGACTAAAGCATTACGCCGCATTATGCCGCATCTGGTCCGAACTACATTCTACATCGGTGTTAGTTGATTGTGGGTTCTTGTAAGCTTAATATTAATGCGTTTTATGATAAAAAATTGTATTGTAGCCTATGGTTTTGCACACAAAATATTGTAAACAATAGATGTAAGATTAAAATAAAATAAAATTGAACTATTAAAAAACTTTATGTCATTGAGACATATGATAGTTTTGACTTTATTCAATATTTAGTTATACTAATTACTTTAAAACTTTATTAAATATATGTACTCGTTTATAAGAAATTTCATAGAGAATTCAGAAATGTATACATATTATAGTATTCAATATACCAAAATCAAGATATTTGCGTTTAAACTGATTGAGCCCAATCAGCCGTCCATTTTATTAAACAGCTCCGCAGTCAACGGAGTATTACGGTTAGAGTCTCCGCAGCTGAAAGGTTAAAATTGCTAATTTCACAAGTGATGTTTAGCAATTCCATAAGATGGGAGCGACTGGAGGTGATAATTTGAGGTCATCCATATAGAAAAGGTGGGTCACTTTTGTACCTCCCTTCCGAAGCTGAAATCCCCTCCCGGAGCCCTCCAGTAAAGTACTGAGAGGGTTCAAAGAGAGGCAGAACCAGATTTGACTCAGACAGTCGCCCTGGAATATACCCCTTCTTATCCTTACGTGGCTTTCCGCAGCCGTCATCCGCTCGCCCAGATGACAGAGGATCGTACTCCACTGCCCCATACACTGCTCGAGGAAGTCTCGAACCGTACAGTCAATCTTGTACAGCTCGAGGACCCTCTTCACCCATGTATGAGGCACCGAGTCAAATGCCTTTCTGTAATCTATCCAAGCGGCGGAGAAGTTCCGACGGTTGCGTTTCACCACTTTGCCAATGACCGCGTCAATAAGGAGTGGTTCCTTGGTTCCACGACTGCCGCCCCGACATCCATTTTGAGCGCGCGACATCACCTGATTTGAGTCCAGGTGACGAGCGATTCTCGCGCTCAAAATGGATGTTAGTGTCTTGTATATAGTCGGTAGACACGTGATGGGGCGGTATTTGCTCGGGTCTGTGGCACCCTGATCTTTAGGAACCAAATGAGTGATCCCAGTAGTGAAGAGGCTTGGGAGCGACTTCTGGTTGAGAGCGTCTTGAAACTGTCGGGCGAGCACAGCGTGACACACCATGAACCCCTTCAGCCAGTAGTGATGCAGCCCGTCAAGCCCCGGACTTTTCCAGTTCGGGGCCCTACGGACCGCTTCAGCTACGTCATCCGGCGTTATGGTGACGGGATCCATGGGCGTAATACCCGCACACTGACTCACCACAACTTCCGTCCAAGGGCCCTCGTTGTGGTTTACGGGCTCTGACCACAGGCTGCGCCAGAATGCGACCGTGTCGGCCTGATTTGATGCTGGGCCCGTTCCACTTACTATTGGTCGCTCCAATGATCTGTAGAGCCTCTTCTGATCACTCTGGAAGAGACGATTCTGGTTGAACCGTGTCGACCTCTCGGTATATCGCCGAATCCGCTTTCCCCAAGCAGCGATTCTTTGCTTCAGGTCGTCTATGCGCTCCGTCAGTTTTTGCGTTATATCCGGCATTTGTCCCAGCAAACGCCATCCTGACGGTGCGCACAATCCTTGGCCTGGTATTGCCTGACCTGAAGCATATCAGTCTGCCGATGAGGGCCCTTGCCCTTGCGATACGGTCCTCAATTCTTTTTCTCCAGGCTGGGATGGCGCTACTTTGTTTAGTAGCGCGTCCAGCCATGGGAAGTTTGGCGCCAATAATACGGCAAGCTGCCACTGCGGCGCCAAAAAGAACTGAGTCCGTCTCGCAAAGGTCCCGGCTGGCTTCCAAAAAGGTTACTAGCATTGGGTTAAGAGCCATCACGACAGCCCGATTTCGCTTGCTTAGGGGTATGCGGGGAAGTCGCGGTCGATTTTCGAGAGGCATGCTGCGCGTTTCCAAAATCGCCTCTTCTAATATACTCCTCATTTGCTCTAGTTCGTGAGAGACCATTTCATCATCGTCCAAATCAACCACAACTGGAAGATCCATGGCGGCTTCTACGCGTGGCAGCTGGTCTGTCGCCTGAGGAGCCGCATCCCCAGCCGTAGCCAATTCATTCGATGAGTGAATGGCCTCACGTCGTAGTCGTTCGAGCTCGGCATCATCAAATATTTTGGAGCGCATGATGTACTGAACTCGGTCTGCCAGGTTTTGTTCCGTGACGGGAATAGACGGCTCCAGCTCAGCAAAAAAGCAATGCATCCGAGCCTGATACGCTATCGCTGCAGTTGCTTCCCCTTTCGCCCTATAGTACGCCCGTAATGCGTTTGCGTTCATATCCCTTGTCCAACGCATGCGGCGTACTCCACCAGCGGCGGATGCCGCTTGCCGAGTCCGAGAGGACCCTGCCGACATCAAGTCGTCTAGTGTGGATGATGGATGCGGGAGGTTGCTAGGTGATCTTGCAGCTCCTCGTGCTCGGCTGGCGGCCCGCATGCTGCCGCGTCCAGCGCCAGCTCCAGACGCGCCCCGGCGACCCCCAGGCAGCGGCCCTATTACAATCCATCATCCATTTTTGGGCGCCAATTAACGGGAGACGCCCAGGCCCGGCACCGTTTCATTGTATCATTGTACGGCCGTAAGCACAAACGGGCCTTTGCACCCTGAGTACTGCCGAGGCACGGCGCTCATACCTCTTGGCAAGGCGCTGACTGACTGCACCGACGTAGCAGTTTTGCCACTTAACTGTTTCGTCAGCGGGCGATGGGGTCGTCACTTCCCTACGCCTTTCTTTTTCTTTATTATTATTATTATTATATACAACGCGGAGAGAATGTGAGTATTCCTGCGAAGGGGTATCGGCAGCCACTAGAGCTGTTTGCGAAATTCGGAGATATGATCATATTTGCGAAGCCCAAAAGTAAATCTAATGCATATATTTTGAATGCGCCCAAGCTTATTAAGCTGTTCCTCGGTAATGTCAGGATAGCAAATATCAGCATAGTCAAGAATAGGCAGAAGTAGAGACAGCGAGCGAAACTTTAGTTGCTTTGGGAAGAAAATTACGTAATCTACATTAAGAGCTTAACGCAGCAAACATTTTTCTACTGACCTCATTAACCTGTGAGGTCCAAGACATACAGGAGTCAAGATACAACCCCAGGTTTTTAACCTTGTTACTGTAAGGGATTCGAGTGCAGTCAAGTATAATAGGGGGTAGGGAAAACCAGTCAATTTTACCAATTAATCTGGAACTACCGATGACAATGACCTGAGTTTTCTTAGGATTAATCGTTAAACCATAACATTTACTCCAGTTCGAAATACAAGTCAGGTTAGCGTTAATAGTGTCAACTGCTTTAGACAGATCTTCAAGCGAGGACTGAATATTGATTTGGAGATCATCAGCATACAAGTGGTAGGAAGAGGACAAATTATGACTTATAGACTTAATGAACATTGCAAACAGGGGAGGAGACAGCACGCCACCTTGTGGTACACCAGCAGCTGTAGTAGCAGCTGTAGTCCAGGTGTTCGCTGTCGGCTACCAAACAAGTAACTTCGAAACCAGTCAACTACAGTTGGAGATATGTTGAGAGAGCGCAGGATGCCTAACAAGATATCAAAATCTACAGTATTAAATGCGCTACTAAAATCAAGCAATGTGAGAATGGTAAGCTTTTGTTTCTCCATACCATACTGTTAGCGACGACAAAGTGAATTCGAACATTTAATCTTGAAGGAGTTATGTTCGGCTCTTTTCTTGGTCTAATTGTTTCTTATCAGTGATTTAAAACTAAGTGTTAGCATTTAATCTTAATTGTTTCTTATCGGTAATTCAAAACTAAGTGTTAGCATTTAAGTATCTCAATTGTTTCTTATTCGTAATATAAAGCTAAGTGTAAGGACTGATAGTGCTGATAACAAGAAAGTAAATTAATTGCTTCAATTCTTATCTTAAAATAAGGTATATGAATCTATTTAATTATTTAGGTTTGATTAGAACATTAGAAGCAAAGTATGAGCTTATTTTCTTAGTAAACTTTCTTTTATCATAACTTTAAGAGCTATTAACATATAAGTGATTTATATAATTCTTTTTCCTTTTAAAGTAATTTAAAATAAAAATTAATATGTCAATTAATTACTTATAATGTAATCTTTATTATAAGATAAATTTTAATTTCATAGAATATGAAAAGATATTGTATAGAATCTTAAGCATTATTATCGTGATAAGCGTTGTACTCGTACATTCCTGCCTCTTGGCGGCGCTACTTGTATGTTCAGCGAAAAAATACTATCCTACTCCGGAGCTAAACCGTGAGGAGACCGCGAACCTATTTTTATTTTTTACAAGCTTAAATTTAAACTTATGTAAATGATTTATGTTTAAAATAGTAAAGTAAAGTTATATCTATTGTCAGGAATATGTAAAAATATTGTAAGGTCTGTTTTACCACATATTTTAAAGAAATTTCTAAATTTCCCTTAGAAAAGGTCGTTCTGCACTCCGATTGGTCGACGGGAATCATTAGTGCCGTGTGCAAATTTAATTAATTATGATTGGTCACAGGTACCTATAAAAAAGGGGCGTTTTTTGTGGTAAAACATTCCCCAAATCCGGCAATGTAAGAAGAAGTACTCAGAAAAATAAACAAGAAGATATTTCAAGAAGTGTTATTTATTCACTCAACCAACTGCAACTGCATTTAGCCAGCAATAGTTTAACAGTCTCACACACGAGCACACATTCAACACATACCGAATATCATGTGCAGTGGTCGTACTATGGCCAGGACGAAAACCAATTGCAAGGGATTTAAAAGATTGTGTTTTAAAAGATAGGTGCTTAATCGATCATGCACAAGACGTTCTAGAACTTTGGAAAAGAAAGGCAAAATAGAGATAGGTCTTAATCAGAAAACCTAGAGGGATTCGACTTTTTCGGAAGAGGAACTACAAATGCGTCTTTCCAAGCTGAAGGGAAAAAAGCAGAATTCAGTGAATTATTCAGGATAGAAGTGATTATAGGATAAAGGAGGTCAATGTGAGGGTGACCATTTTCCAACTAATGCAGCCACTACCAATCGAATTTGAATGGATGAACATTATGGCTCTCTTAACATCACAAATGTTAAATTGGCTAAAATTAAAAGCAGAGGTGTTCGGAGTGGGAGCTTTTGAAAGAGAATCCAAAGTATTATGTTTTGATTTATCAGTAATGGAAGACGAAGATGAGAAATGCAAATTAAGTTGATTGAGATCAAAGTTATGGTGTATGAGATTTTGTCGTAATTTCCCAACTCCTAAAGACTTAAGAAATTTCCAGACCATAGCAGGGTCAGGATCTTGTATTGATTCATGGATATGGCGTCGTTGTGCTTTTCTACACAGATTGTTGCTACGATTCCGTTCTAATCTATACTTCTCTCTATTCAAATCACTGGGAACTGACTTGTATTTAGCTTTGGTACAATTTTTAATGTGGATGATTGTTTTATATCATCAGTCAGCCAAGGAGAGGGAGGATGCTTTACACGCACTAGACGAACAGGAGCATGAACGTCCTAAAGCCGAATTAACAGAGAGTTGAACAAAGCTATCTGTTCATCAACAGTAGACGCATTGATGACTACACTCCAATCAATCTTTACAGCGTCATTTAAAAGCTGCTCCAAATCAAAGTCACTAAAGTTACGCTGAAGTAGTATCCTTGAGTTAACTTTAGGGGGGACAGATTTTGTAAGACAAGTATAAAAGATTGTGATAGGAAAAAGAATCAGCAGCATGTTGCCCAAATTTATGAACATGGTCAGGTGAAGACACAAACATTATCTCGAAAAGAAAAGGGGCACAGTTCGGAAAAAAGTGTGTGGCAGAAGTAGGAAGAAGTTTTAAAATTTGCTGCTTCAATAATAGATTTAAGCTTTATTGATCTAGCGTTGTTTTTTAAAAGACAAGTATTAAAATCACCCATAATAATACTGTGACAATAGATAGGTGTAAAATTGTCAATAATATTTTCTAATGTGGTGACATAGTCGACAGTGAGAGAGGGGCTGTAAAAGACTCCGAGAAGTAAACTTCGATAAAGAGAAATTCAGCTTCGCTTCCAGTCTGCGAACAGATAAATAGCAACACCACCACCGCCCTGATTAGTACGGTCGTTACAAATCAAATGAAAACCTGAAAGTGAGTGGGATGTAGATGGAAGATATGGTTTTAACCACGACTCCGAAACAAGGATAGCGTATATGTTTTTGCTATTAAAACTTGACAACATGTCGGGTAATGAGCAGGAATACTTTGATCATTCAAGTGAATAGCATACCATAGACAAAAAATTGAGAGGTGTTAATGTCAGATGAGTCAAAATGTCAAAAGTGTTACAGTATACTTTTATCACTAATAATAAACATTGCAAAGAAAGATTATAATAACAATTACCAACCATACAAGAAAAATTATAACACTAAATAATAAACATTCCAAAGAGAGATTATTAATCATTACATTTTACTATCTAATCAACAATTAACAAGGAAAAGTAATGAAGATATGATGATAAAAAGGAAACAAAAATATGAACTCCAGAGAAAAGTTATAACACAATTACAAAAATTAATAAAATTATAAAATTAAATTATTAAAGAAAAAAGTTCATCTTCATTCGATTTTCCAGCTTGAAAGCCTAACTGGATAAGATGTGAAACTTATTGGGGAAACTTATGAAACTCTTGTTGATAAGTTATAGCGTATATGTTTTTGCTATTAAAACTTGACCAACATGTCGGGGTAATGAGCAGGAATACTTTGAGCATTTATGTGAATAGCGTTAAAATTTATGCTAAATTCAGAAAAAGTTGAATCTAACATAATATTTAAAGGTGCAATGCTTTCAAAGCTGTCAATACTGCTTAATCCATCAGAGGCAGAATCAAATGCGAAGGAATTGGAACTCCGAACACCATCATCTGAAGAAATCATATTAAATTATACCTGATCTCTAAATATATGTAAAACTAAGTAAATATGTATAAAATAAATAATTCAAAAATAAATAAGTCATCAGTAAACTACCTGCCAGCTTATGGAAAGAAATGTATAATTCACTTAACAATAAGTGAAGAAACAGAATGTTAACATACCATAGACACATAAGTGAGAGGTGTTAATGTCATATGAGTCGAAATGTCAAAAGTGACAGTATGTTAACTAGCAATTATCTACATTACAATATACTTTTATCTCTAATAGTAAACATTCCAAAGAAAGATTATAATAACAATTACCAACCATACAAGAAAAATTATAACACTAAATAATAAATATTCCAAAAAGAGATTATTAATCATTACATTTTACTATCAAATCAAAGATTAACAAGGAAATATAATGAAGATATGATAAAA